ATGTATGTATGTATGTATTGTTTCGGTAAATTGAAACAGGCTGTGAAGTCAAAAAGGCTTGCGCAGAATAAAAATATGGTATGCTGTATAGGAGCATCATGGAAGTTACATATGATGGAAAAAAAAGTGGTGTGTGCAACACGTATGGCTCATGCTAACGGTAATACCATAAAAAACACATAACACTGAGCTGCGTGTGGAGGAGGCTTGTTGTTAATGACGCAGCCTAAAGAAACAATTGAAACCAACTTGGTATCAAATGACTTTGGCACCAACCAGGTGTGATCCCTCTTGCTTTGTAAAATATCCGCTGTGTCCATGTCAGAGAACGTCTCTGTCTGTTCCTCTGCACTCTGTGTCAGGCTGCCGCGCTCTCACGTGTGATTAATATAGCCATATCAAGCATTATCTAGGCCCCTTCCAGACAAGCTAGCATGACATGGTTGGTACCAATTGATGCCTTAGGTCATCTAGTTATATATATCTGTATCTTCACTAGCTTTAACAGGCTCTGAAAGACAGTAATGCCAGCCATATGCCGGGGCCCTAGCAGAGTTTCAGAGCTTATATGTATGTAAGTATAAGGATAAACATGGATGTGATATGGATGTTTTGATATTGCAACTTAATGGTCAAGAATTTACTGCAAAGACAAACTTTATCTGTGGACATAAATGCAGTATATTCAACATGTTTGCTCAAGTGAATGTGTGGTGCATTATGTCAGTCAGTCTGCTGGTTAGTCTGAATATGCCATACTGTTTACAGGTTATGTTTTAAAGGAATGTAACACACTGTAAGCTGTATTCCTAGTAGCCCTCACCAGTGAGAACAGTCGTGCAGACTGTCGTGGAGGGTCTTGCGGAGCACTGAGTCCTTGTCATAGATGCCCCACGTCGCCTGCAGCACAGAGTCGAGGAGACAGTCCCCGGCCGTGCGGTTCCACAGCGCATACAGTCGACTGTCCAACCTAGTCCCGAGCTCCAGGGACCAGTTGATGATGGGAGACTCCTCTTCAAGTTCTGAACAACAGGGGACGGGGAGGGGGAGGGGGAGAGCTGTAACTATCTGCAAAAACCTATCAGCGGTAGCAACTATCTGATCTTAAAGAGAACACGTGCTAAGAAACGCGACAGTGTGAGGGGTCAAAGGTTCTTTTGAGGGCATGGTGAGATGAGATAGGTGATGATGGCATTTGAAGGGACTGCTAATGTTAATGGGGAGAATGTTAATGGTTACTCACACCTGTCATGATAGATTTAACATAACGATGTCTACATAGGTCTGCATGCACACCACAAAACCGGATGACTGAGAGACGTGTGGCTATGGCAGGAAACCAGATAAGATATACAGTATACACATATGTCTTACTCATGTTGCAAAGTGCAACTGAAGGCATCCACTGGTTTTTGGTTAATTATAAAAAAAAAGTCACACTTTGCCTTAAGCTGCATTGATGCTTGCAGCTGAACAGACAAAACACTGGCCCGACACAACCCAACGTGAAACTAAACAGCTTGTTGTTTCTCAATTTCAAATGGAAGGGAGTGATGCTTTGAAGCAGTATCAGATTATACTTCTTAGATTAGATGTCTACCCTTCCTTCTATCATGTATCTGTACCAGTGCTGGTATATTTAAATACATTTAGATGTTTATGATATGATGCAACCACTTAAACAGATATTTTTTTGGGGGGTTGGGGCATTTGAGTGAGCAGTGTGACAAACGGCTCTGTAGTGGGAGAACAGTCTTTTCTTACAATGACCAAGGTGAAATTTACAAATGACTTTTCTGGGGAACTCATTTATTTTGTTTTTAGTTATGTTGTTTTTGTGTTTAAAAAGTAAAAAGCTCAAGATCAATATAGTTTTGTAAGAGTATTGAATTATTCTGGACAATGGTGAACTACTCGAAGCTCCTAGCAGTGATCTTTCCTTTCACTATGCTTCATTGCTACCATGATACTTTCCCCTGCAAATGCACACACACTGTGCACCCTTAAGAAATGTTGTGTACATGGCCAGGTAATCAGGTTTTAAGTAGTGTTAATAGACCTGGTCTTAATCCCATAATATGAGCAAAGAGACAAGGTTTTTTGTTCACTTGGACATTTCATGTTTCTGCCAGAAACCTGTTAAGTGCAAGCAAACACACCCAGAGAAAACCTTGAAGGTGAAATAATGCTGTCTGTCTCTCTTTGTATCTATACTGCAGTGCACAACATTCGACACACAAATAAGCAGAGCACCAAAGAAAGAAAGTCTTTGCAGAGGAGTGACGCCTTTTAAATGTGTGGTTTATATCTGTGTGCGTGCATGTGTGTGTGTGCGTGAAAAACTCAATTAGACTGATTAGGGCAGACGCAACTGGTACACGCGATAAAGACACACCGTCTGGCAGAGTGACAAGCAGGCAGGCAAAACACTGTGTTGCCAAGAGGGAAAATACAAGTAATATAACACTGCCAGCGTTCGGCAGCCTTCCCATTATAGTATTCAGTTTGTGAGGGGGCTCCCTCTGTTTGCCAAGCCGCCAGACCATCGTTGTCATCTTGGATCTGGCTTCTCTCCCTCGCTCTCTCTCAAAGCAATTGCATCTATATGTAAACACAGCATCTGACAGGTGTTACTGCAACACTAAGTCACAAAGTTGATAGTGTAAATATTTCACCTTTTTGTACGTCTCGGTCCAGCACCTCATCAAACAGTTTTTCCTGAACTGCAGGGGGCAAGTCCTCGATGTCTGAAAAAAACAAAAAACGAAGACAACTGTATGACAGGAACCAAAAGAGAGGTTATTAGAGGAGAAACAGGTGCAGGGGAAATTAAGTCTTTGTTTTATTCACTTATTATTTGATGAATGCATCCTTTTCTACTTAAACTAGCTATAACACTTAACTAAAATGACTCAAAAGGCCAACTAGAAAATGTTTCTGTCGTGGCTCATTTCAACTCAAGCGATCGTGTTTTGTTCGTTCCACAATAGCCATTCGCTTTCACTGTGTGCTCGAAGCACACACACAGTAGCTTATTCTTTAGCTAAAATAAATGAATGCATTGACTTTGTGGAACTGAACAGAATAGCTCTCTATAGTGACCAGAAGCCAAGGTCTGCATTGTCCTGAAAACACTGCATGACAAAAATCCTTAGCTTAGCTACTAGCAACAAACTGAACCATAAAAGCTATTCCACACAATGAAACTCAACAGAATTAGCACTGAATGCATGCAATTTTACACAGAGACATTGGCAAAAACGCTAAATATAGCTTTGTTATGAACGAGAGCCATCCGTCGTTGGCGGGCTGGTATACGCAGTATGCAAGAACAATATTCGAACAGTGAGCCAGAGGTAGCCTCCGTCTTCTGGCAGTTGAAAACAGACAATTGTGGCATTATGTCCCCTCAGCAGCCGAACAACAAGCAATTTCATATGCCACAAGTAAACAAAACAAGTATTCTATCACGCACTTGGCGAGCCAGAGAGGATGGCTAGACAGGGTTTGTTCAGTTTTGAGGTCCCCTTACACGAAACACAGAAAGCGCACTTTAAAAGCTTCTGGAATTCATGTGAAGATTCATGAATTTGTGGGTGCACTGTAGTGTTTAGCCTCCACCGAGGAATCTATGTTTTCTGTCACATTTGTTTGTTTGTTTTCTGAGAAGTTGCTGACCTGCTGGCAGGGTGAAGGTCACCAAGTCAGTGAGGAAATAGCAGGTGAAGTCTCCCTTGCGCTGGTGAAGAGAGGCCGCTACCTCACGGCGGATCTGCTCCGTTAGCTCAGGACACACCATGGCTGGAATACACTTGGCTGCCTGTTGAGACACCTGCAGAGAGGAGAGGACAAAGGGAAGGAGGCATAATCTAAATATATAAAGAGTGTATGAGACGGTGCGTGAGAATTGGGCAAGAGCATATCTGACACTTGAGGAGGGTTGTATTTCACAAGTAACCACAAAATAAAAACATAGCTGTGTTAACTGATGCTAAAAAAAGCTTTTAAGGTAGTTGTAGCTGCACGCTGTGACCAACTGTATCAAATGCAACACTGCAGGCTAAGAGGAGGAGAACCAAACAGTCAACACCTTCAGCTGCGTGGAATAAGTCATTCGTCACTTTGATAAGGTGAATAACTAAGATCTAAAGGTGTTACAAGAAAAAGAAATCCCTTTGTCAGAACACATCACATAATAAAATGCAGCAGGAGTGAGGTAGAGGTTGGACCACTGGTAAAAAAAACATTGCAATTATTTTGACAGATGTGTTTCAGGATTAGTGTGGGAATGAAAAACTCTTAAACATGTTTGTATGTCAGGGCATCTCTCTGCAGCACTATAGTCCTATTTTATAACGCTGTTTTGTCACACATTTTACCTTTTGTCACAATT